GGGACAGCTCGGGCAGCGGGGGTCCCTGCCTGCCAGAGGCCCTCGGTACTCCAGGTCCTGTTCGAGACTCAGTGACTCTTTGGCAAGCCATTACATGCCCATCCACTATAAAACCCAATTTTTGTTTTGGCCCAGAAGAACCAAGCACCACCTGTGATTCCCTGCACAGGAGGTTTCTTCCAAGTTGGCCTTTTTGGGACCTTTGAATGGGAGGAACGATGATCGAGGCACTATACCAGATATGCACAACCAGCCTCTGCTACAGACACCCAGTGCTGGGCTTGGGCCGATCCCATGAGTTTCTTTATGTTCAGTTCCCATGAGTTTCTTTATGTTCAGTTTGGAGGATGACGGTTTCAGCTCCTGCTGGATGCTGGGACTGATGCTTGTTATGGCTATGCTTAGCATAAACTCACTCCTACAATAACAATGAGTAAAAGATAGTCCCGTGGCTCTGAATTTATCTAAGTCTAATGGCTGTTTCATGCGGTTGGGGATTAGAGACAGACTGATGTATCTGGCTGCTGAACATCATTTGCTGTTTACCTTGGCTGGAGGAGGACTCAGAACTAGGGCTATAAACACTTGCAGGGTGAGGGAACAACAGATGAACAAAGCGAGGAGAGAAGACACAGCTTCACTGGAAACCTTGTAAACCACTGACTGCAATAAAAGTCAATGCAGGAATTAAAAGCTGTCAGTTCAGAAAGCCATAAAAACACCATCTCTTCTTTATCTAGCTTCCCTGACTGAGCTTGAAACAAGAGATTTTCTTTTTTTCCAGGAGGCGTTTCAGAGTGCTCCTTTGTGGCTCACAAGCTAGCACACTTTAGAGAGAACATAATTCTGCGACAAAGCTTTTCATCTGCTCTATAGTGAGCTCCTAAGGGGATGCACCACGTAGCATCTTTCTGAGTCATTCCAACATTCCTGAAGGTTTTTCTACCATGTAGCCACAATTTAACTGCTACCTTGGTAGGCTCTGATGCAAAACTCTGCCTCTCTCTGCACAGTGACCTGCTGCAATAACCACTTGAGTGGATGTAGCAAGCAGCTGCTGAGAAGCTTTCATGGGCCATGACACATGGAAGTACCGAGGTGGGGGTGTGCATCACACACATACTTGCAAAGTGTGTGCAGCCAAGGCAAGTTTCATTCTATGTGAAAAAGTAACACAACACTTACTTTGAGGGAGGAGGAGACAGGCAAAATGTCTCTCAAACTGCAAGGTTTCCTCAGCATCCAGGCTCCAGTGGCCCGGACAGGAGGTCTTACCGAAGGTGCAATAACAGCGAGACAGCTGGGGAGTGTATTTCTATTTCCTGAAAGATTTCTGCAAAATTGCACGCACAGTGCGTGTGGCCCTAGGCTCCCGGCAGAAAACTCAACATGCAAACCTCTGCCGTGACTCACCCCCTGAAAGTCAGCGGACTGGATGAGAGAGCTCCCCTGTGATCTGGGAGAGCACCTTAGGGATTAGACTAAAGCCAGATTTTCAAAACCTTCCAAGTCCAGCAGGCCATAGAGTTAAGGCCAGATATGAAGTAAGAAGTCACAGGGAAAAGCTGTAGGTGTGTTAATTAAAGTATGAGAATGACCCTGCCTTCCTGAGCTGATATCTGGAAATGGAAGCTGAAGATCTGAGGCTGAAGCTCTCCCTGACCCTCATTTCTCCTCTGGCAGTCATTTGAAAGCTCACGTAACTGCAGAGATGACTCAGACTTTTCAGAACAGACTTTAAACTTAGATCCAAAGTCTGCAGAGCCTCCCAGGGTGGCTATTCACACCTGGACAGTGTAGCTGCATAAATCCCAACCCCAAGCCCACAGAGGTCAGGTTTTGACTAGTTGCTCTTCATGCTGCTTTCACTTCTAGAGGCTATCACATATTGATATGATGTTCACACTTGCTGAGGCAGAGGAGCCTGCAAATTTCATCAGTTCAGCTGCCTGTTCAACTCCTGAGCACTTGCGTGGGCTCTGCTATGAGAAATCAATGATGAACTCCCATTGCTTCCAATAGGAGCAAACTAGGAACAAAATAAAGCACAACAGTAGCCTTTTAAGCAAGCTTTTAGCCAGCTCCCCAAGGATGCAGCCAGACATGCTGTCTACGCCAGATCAGCTTCAAAGCCGTTAGCTGAGAGTGCTCAGGGCAGCCACAAATAGTCTGAGCTAATAAAAGAGCATCTTCCACAGCCAAGCTGCAAACTTCTGCCTACTCCTAACTATAAGAAGATATTGGGGCTCTTCCAAGTACGTCCTTCTGCTTTTGAGCATCAGGCAGGACTTTCAAGGACTGATGCAGATCAAGCCTTGCACATCCCATTCACTTTGTTCAGAAACTCTTGCAGAAACCATCACAGTACCTGTTGGAAAGCCATGGTCTTCTGTGCAAGAAGCCCAGCGTAGACTGGCATCCAGTTCCAGCTCTGCTACATGTGCTGAGCAAGGCACTTGGTTTTTCTGTGCTTCTGATTCCTTCCCTACCATTTGAATATCTTTGCTGTTGAGTTGTTCAGGAATTGCTTCGTACTTTGGATTTTCACTGTGCTTAGCACAAGGGTTTTTGATCGAAGCCAGGGACCCGGGATGCTAGCTCACAACACATTGCATTAGAACAAAAAGGGCTTGCGTACAATGAGATGACAGAGTGAATTGATCTGATAAAAGGCTCTTAAGTCATTAATTCAAGTCATGCAAGATTAAGAAACATTTCAGCAATAACAGAAACTGTGTTAAGGCCTTAGCAGTTTCAAAGACCTCTTTCTTAATTGGCTTCACAATATTGTTCCTTTCATCTTTTTGTTCTAACAGAGGGATATTAGGAAATATATGCTTTCAGAGTTACCAGTGGCTCCCAAACAAGCTTTTCAGGGCTGTACCATGTTTTCTTTGTTTTAGTAATGGGAAACCCTTCTAGGGACTCTCATATTCAATCCATCTTTCTACCTCAGAAAAGAAGCATCAGCTGATTTTTTAAGCTTTCACAGATCTTCCACCTCACCAAAACCCAAGGGGACGGGGGAAGAGACTGAGCAACACTAGGGAGACATGCTCAACATGAAGCTGTGATACCCACATGGTTGAGGCTACCAGATTAAGTCCTTGGTTTGATCCAGGGTGCTTGGTCAAGGTCCGCTTCCTCAGAAGACACAAGCCCAGAAGGGATGGTCTCCAAGAGAGACTTGCCCTCCATGCCTGCGCTCCCATATCCCATCTCTAGGAAATTTGACGTGCACCCCATGGGGCAGTCATCCTCGCAGCACGGGGCCACCGGTCCCTCAGTGGGAGGTGTATGGGAGAGACATCTCCATGAGCAAGCAAACGGACAGAAACGGCTGCTTGCTGGCTTTGTCGCTTTTTGCCCCAGGTTTGATATTGCCTATTCTTGCAACCCACCATCAAAGCAAGGGACTGGGCTAATACGAGTTTTTATGTGTAGGAAGACCATCTGTGAACATTTAGCCTCCAGGCCAGGCCATGTCCTGTATGAGGTTCAAACCCCATGGAGCAGCACCTTACCTGCTGACCTTCGTTTCAAAACCCACCACATTCATTTCCATTTCTTCTGTCAGCTCCGTCCCCTACCACACAAAGACACAGACCTTCCCTCCCAAAACAACTGGCTGCCTGCCTCCTGCTGCAATGTGTCTTTCTTTTGCACCAAAATCCATTACAAAACATCCTCTTTAGCTTCTGGAAACACTAAGAGCCTTTTTATGTCAAGGAGTTAAATCTTGTTACTCAGCTGGCATTAATTTCCCTCTTTTAACACCAAAGGTTTTGATCCCTTCCTGTTTAAAAAACTATGCACCAAAGCTGAATCATTCTTGTCTTCTCCTTTCCAGACAAGGAAGAAGAGAAAATGAAAAGGGTTGTAATGTTTTGCTGGCTCGCTCATCTTAACTGTCTTGGTAGAGGCTTGTTAAATTCTTACTGAGAATATTCTGTTCCTGGGGTGTGAGATTGCTTTTTGTGCCCCAAAGGAATATCACAGTGGGCTAAAGGGTGACTCTGAGTCAGGACCTTATAGGTAGAAGTCAAAACAAAGATTAGGGCGATGAGCATTTAATACTGAGGCTCTGGCCCTAACCAAGCCTGTGGCTGGGGAGCCAATATCACTCAGCTCCAATACAAACACTTTATTGACCACCCTTTTTCCCCCACCATCCCTAGCCTGGACCACCTCTTGGCTTATCTGATTTCTCCTCTTCACAGTTTCATGAAACAACAGACTGAGCCGACTGACATGTTTAACTAACTCATCCCTTTGGTCACAGAAGCACAGCGCTGCCAAAGATGCATTGCAAATGCTGGACTTGAAATTCCTTCTGTAGCGATCACTCAGTGAAGAGGTCAGCTGGAGGAGGAAATAAAAATAAATAAATGCTCCTTTCAGAAGGGTTAATGGCGGGTTGGAAACCACGCAGGCTAAAGTCAATATTTACCGAAGGCTGCAACAGATCTTGCAGTCACTGCCAACTGTGAAACCCACCACTGGGATCACTCTGCTCAGGGCTGAGGCACCCTGCGGTAACTGGGAGAGCCCTGGGGAGCTGACCAGCCACGACATGCATGCTGCTGCCCCAAAGGGAGTGGGGCTGCACATTTTTGTAGCGATCTCCCCATCATCTCCCCATAATGGTGCAGGAGATGACGGAGAGTTCTGGAAGAGCATGGGCTACCCTTCCCTAGCATTAAGCTGGGCTGGAGGCTGCACCCAGCTGCTAACTGGTGTTGGGGTCTCAGGACCTGCCAAGAGCCAGTCAGCACACCCTCCCAAAGCATGTACGTAGCGGACATGAAGCCCTGCGCACCAACGTTTCACTCCACGGACTGTTTCTACAGAAGAGTGAGTTCAGCCAGGTTTGGACAAGACTTTATTCCATGTAAAAGGGACCAGCACAGGGTATCCAGGCACTCAGTGTTATCTCTGTGTGTGGTTCACTCCTGCTTTCCTTATAAAGTGCCAAGCCATTTCTTCTTTTAAAGCACTGATCATTTTGTGGTTTTCACATTTTTGATCTCCTGCAGCAGGTCAGACGTTAGAGTGAGACTGACTAACAAGATCATGAAATCTTCAAAATCAATTTTGTTCTCCAACTCCTCATCCAGGGCAGAAATTATTTCCTGGTATTTTGGTTTGCTTTCTTGGCCCTATGGAGAATTTTAAATGAAAAAGAAAAAAAAAAAAAAAAAAATCAAGCATGAAGTTCCTTTTTTATTGCCTCATAGAAAAAAAAGACAGACAGACACCTACGTAAAAATTAATGTATTTTTCTATCTTCTCATTCAGGTTTTCATGTCCACATTTATATTGGTTTTTCTAAAGGTATCCCAAGAAACTCAAACAGAAATATTATTGCAGTCAGACAGGAGAACAACCAGTCCCCAAAGTTTCCACCTGAATCCAGAATACATCTTTTAAAAGACACCTAGTCATGACTGAAAATCTGGCAGTGATGATGATGTAGCTGGTAACTGCTGGAAAAAAAATGGAGTCCTGTGTCTTGATAAAACCAGGGAGAGGAAACAACCAACCAGCTCACCCTCCTAACCTTAATATTCAAGACAGATCCTCAAATATATACTGTGAAGGTCTCAAAACTGTTGATTTTACAGACATAACTTCAGTAGCTGCTATTCTCTGTCCTCTTGGACATTACTGTTGGAATGGAAGCGATTATTAAAATTATATATCGTGTCTATTATTTATATTTCCTTATGGGAAAAAAAAAAAAAAAAAAAAAAAGAGTTCCAGGATATTTTTTTAGCTTACTAATTTTCAAAACATCTAATGATTCCAAATGTGATTGGCTATTGATATTTTCAAGACCTTTTTCATAAGGTGCCTTGTTTCTAATTTGGCACCAATTCCCTCTCCCCAACAAGTCATGTGATTTTGTTATTCTTGGAAGCAAAGGTATTGTCAAGAATGTCTTTACTCCTAAACATCTCTCTCATTTACTTTATTAAGCTCTTTTTACTAGTCCTGTATAGTGTTTTCTACCACTTGATAAAACTGGTTTGTGGTTTTTTTTATTTAGGGAGGGAAAAAAAAAAAATCTGCAAGAAGTTTACAGCCACAAGTGCCGATATAGCTCTTTTTCACCATACCCGTCTGCCACTGACATGCCATCATCAGATGGGTGACCGATGCAGAGGTGCTTTCTGCTCCCTTTCTCCCAGGGGCCCCACCAGCAACCGCAGCGCATGCAGCGCTGCAGCATGGGGCTGGCTCTCCTGGTACTGGGTCAGCGCCCTGGCAAGCTACCAAACACCTCATTAAATGCAATGGCTTTCTTCTCTTTGTAAATCATAGAATGGTTTGGGTTGGAAGGGACCTTAAAGATCATCTGGTTCCAACCTCGCTGCTATGGGCAGGGACACCTTCTACTAGACCAGGTTGCTCAAAGCCCCATCCAACCTGGCCTTGAACATTTCCAGGGAGGGAGCATCCACAACTTCTTTGGGCAACCTGTTCCAGTGCCTCACCACCCTCATAGCAAAGAACTTCTTCCTTACATCTAATCTAAATCTACCCTCTTTCAATTTGTAGCCACTACCCCTTGTCCTATCACTATGTTGCCTTGTAAAAAGTCCATCTCCATACAAAATACAGTTTCTTGTCATCATCTGAGGATTTTTTGTTTGGTGTTTTTTTGGTTTGGTTGGTTGTTTGTCTTTTTTTAATTGTCCTATTTTCTTTAAAAAAAAAAAAATGCAAGCAGGCACGTCATTCGTGGTTTATTGCTGTCCCGCCTCCTTTAGCCCTGTGTTAGACACAGGCTCAACATAAACCAACTAATTTGTACCAAATCACTAAAGTTTCACTTGGGATTACCCCATGGACCGATGCCTGCCCAGCTGCAGGACAGAGCCCGCGATGCCATTCCTGCACCCAAAGCGCCTGGCCAGTGTCAGCGCAGCGCCACACGCTCACCCAAACCCCCTCACCTGTATGAAACCCCAAAACTGGGTTTGCAGCAAACTTTTGGTTTCAGCTTTGCTGAGCTTGCCCTCGGGGTCAGCAGAGTTGTTATACACCAACGCCATGGTAGCAAAAGCTTTTTCAAGGTCTGAGCCTTTTCCTAGAGCTGGGGGGAGAAGTTACCAGCCTATCAATCAGAAAAAGTGGCATTTGAGATATAATTGAAAGGAATCTGTCAGAACCATCCTGAGTGGGTGGAAATCTGTGTAGTTTCTTTAAAGTTAATGAGACTGAAACTGGTTATACCCACAGAGGACCTGGCCCAGATTTTATTTGGAGTGGGCCAGCAGCATGCCTCATGTCCCATGGAAACACACCTCGAAAGGAAGCTTTCGATCAGAGCTGGGGCAGTAATGCAAGGTGCCGCGCAAGACCCATCTGGTCTACCCCCACCCTGGGCATCCAGCAAGGACCTGCCACACCATGGCGACAGGCCGTGCTGGCCATCTCCTGGGTGCGTTTGGACTCCCAGGATCCTGTATCAGGGAAAACATGGCCCATTGGGGAAGCCTGGCTGAACAGAAACACCCACGTCTGAGCATCAGCGCTGCACTTCAGCATTACGGTATACTTGGGATTTTGGCTGGATTCATTCCCCCCACTCCTGAGCTGCCTCCTAAAGACTGCACACTCACAGCCCTCAGTTAGCATCGTTTAGGTCATGATTTTTAATGGAAAGGCAAGCAGAAGAGGAGATGCGGATCAATGCAGGAGCACATTGCACAGGGACCCACGAGACCCTCTCGGCTTGCACTGGCCAAGAGTCTGCACTGCCTCTGCAGCTCTGCTAAATCACTGGGATTTACTGCACTTGGGCTGTGGCCTTGGACAACCTGAACCCCCAAGGGGCAAGGAATGGGTCCCCTTACCTTTTATTGATGACAGCTGCTTGGCTATAGGTATGCTGGTAGTGAGAGAGAAGAGAGGCACAGTTACCACCTGGTGAATTGTGTGTGTATATATAGTTTCTCCATGAGTGAGCTTGCTCATTTCTGTTTCATTTAACCCCCTGGGAACTCAGGTCTTCCCAAGCGAAACTGGCTTTCCTTCACAGTGGAAAGGAAAATGGCCTTTACATGCAGCACACAACATCACACAGCTCCTAATTCTTCACCTAAGCAAGTAGCCTGGAGTTGTTATTAAAGGTGCTTATTAAATAATTTTAAGGGAGGGGCATTGCAACATCCTTCAAGTAATTTCTTCAGAACATGAAAGAGCTCCAGGAAATTTCTCTGTTTTAAGCCCATCCCCTGGGAAGTGCAGAAGAGTCTGTCATCCCCCACTCACCAGTGCTCCCAGTTTGGAGCAGACACACAGCTTTTATTTCCGGCAGGATTCACATCTGTGAGAAGCACCTCCCTGCTTTCTATTAAAACTTAAAGCCTGCTTACTTTTGCTAAAGTGCTGGAAACTAATTACAGAGCAGCCAATACACAGCAGAAGAGTTTGCTTGTGATAGAGACAAATACATGGAGATAATGGATTTCAAGACAAATCGCAGATCACCAGAGATACAAAGAACAAAGCGATGACTTACCGCTTGGGCATGCCTGCTGCAGCCGAAGGGCTTTTTTTGGTGGAAGCAGGAGCTGGCTGATTGACCGAGTACTGCTTCGTGCTGGGAACGCTTGCTCTGCAGCCACACATCTCGGGGCCGGGGTGTTTGTGATCTCTAAGCAACTCGAGTAATAGCAAACAGGTGAATTCAAGCTCTGCCCTGTGAAAGCAGCCTGCTTGCAGCCTTGCCCTATCAATAATGTAAATGCTACCTGGTGATCACGAAGCCAGCTAAATACATCGGTCTAAAGTAGCCCCCGTGAGGCAGCACTGCCGGATTGGCAAGTAGCATAGCTTTTATTTTATGTGAGAATTTGACAGAAACAAACCATGCTAATGGAGTCTGAATCCTCTTAGATCTGTAGGGATGTAACTTTGCATCAGGAATAACTAAGACACTGAATCCATGCAGCTATACACATTATCATTTTAATGGGAAACCTTTCTAGCGTGGGCTAATGTAACTTGCCCCAGGCTATAAAGTGAGTTGTTCTATAGACAGAGTCAGAAACCAAGCGTTTCCCAATTCCTGACCCAGCATTTATCCCAGGTGAGCACGGTCCTGCTCTAACATTTATTCCCCCGGCGCAGTGCAAAGAGGAGATCTGTTCTTCCTCCGAACCGCTTGCAAAGCAGCATCCAGCATGGAGCCTCTGCTTCGCTTTCTACCCGAACGGATACTGGCTGCTTCCAAAAGCAGCACGGAGCCATATGGCAGAGCAGTCGCACATTAGAGGAACTGGAAGGGCTCCGATGAACTTTGTTATTTATTGGCATGGATAACGCTATTAGAAAACACACAGCTTGTCACACTGCCTATCTCTGTGCATGGTCTCTTTTCTGTGGATCCTTTGCCTAGAGGTGTCTAGACAGGATAACTTCGACCTAAAAGACCAAGTGGCCGTTTTAATCCCAGGGTGGTCTGCTAATAGGTAGTGACTTCAACTACCTCATCCAGCTCATCATTCCTGGTGAAAGGATACAATACTGATGTTAAAACTACCCAGGATGAGACTTTATGTAACAGGACACGCAAAGGAGACTGCAACAGATGGCCTAGAGAATTAAAATGTTTTCTTCATTTAGTAGAAGCTAAATTACTGAAGGCTAATGAATAAGGATGTTCACCACCTTACTGTTCCTGGATTTTAATTATCTTAAAAAGCATGGGAAAAGAGAACCTTTAATTTTCCATCTAAGAGTGTCATTACTCAAACAATTCAGAGCCTTTTTCTGAGAGGTTTAAGCTGTCTTAGATCTCTAGTGCGTTCTTTAGGACTGGCTCATGAATAAAACAGAGCCTGTAATTGCAATGACGCAGCCAAAACACATATAATCAATGCTCATTATCCCATCAATTAACACACTAAAATTAAACAAGAATTCAGGCTTAGTAATCTGCCATCAGCTAAAAAAAAAAGCCTCGATATCATGTTGAAGTGATAATTCCCTTTCACATCTGTTGAACCATACAACGAGGCATGAAAAGCCTTACATCCCCGTTAATCCGCAGAATGGTAATGTTTGGTCTTAGCGTCCAAGGTAAAAACGAGAGTGAGAAACAGACTCTGTTGCATGTTTATCAGCTACAGGCAGTGCTGTGAGCTGGCTGGCAAAGGCAGCCCTCTGCGTTTTGGGCTCTTTCCACCAGAGATCAGATTTCAGCTCGCAGGTTTTTCAATCTAACCGACTTTTGAGAGCCTGAGCTCTAGAACAGGTGATTGGCTTTGCTGGGGTATTAACAAGTCCAAGCAAGCCTGGGGTACATTATCCCTCTAGGATATACTAATTAGCGTATGCGGGAGCGTTAGTGCCTGACAGATAAAGGGTAGCACAAGGATAACCCGTGCCTTTGCAGATGATCAGCTTTAAAGACAGCAAGATTTTGGCTGTATGTGTTGCTTGAGTATTCTGGTCAGCAAGGTATGCGGGGAGCCAGGCCATCTGCTCTGTATCTATTTTGAGACACACTATTTATGTTTGAAATATCCAGGTACTTTTATCAGTCAATTTTTAACACGTTTCACACGTTAACAATATTGTCTCCACAAAATACGCAACTCAAAACTGCAAAATCTTTACAGGCAGTTCACTTAAAATAATTGCCACTGCAGCCGCAGTCCCCACTTCACTCTTGGTATTTTCCCAGACTTTTCCCATCCTTTTTTAAGTACTTCTTTGCAATTCAAGAAGACTTATGTTGCGAAATATTTGTGTGTGATGGAGCCCCGGCTCCCTTAGAGATGACCCTACAACACTCGGCAGGGGCAGGCGCGGGCATGCCCACGGCAGGCAGGCGTAGCCGAGGGGCAGAGGCTCAAGCGAATACCTAAAACCGAAGGCGCGTTCACACCGTTAGCCACTCAGACTTCATTTCTTCAGGGAACTCTTAGGCAGCTGCAGGAGAAGTGCAGCTAACTTGCACTCAGGGAGGTAATTGCTTGATTTCTTTGTGACCAGAATATGGTCATTTTTATCTTACGTGATACGTGTATTTTTTTCCAAAGAGCCAAGACTGAGAAGCCCCCCACTCCATCTTAGCCCAAAGCAGGACTACCACAACCTTATACTATTTTCCTCTTGCTCCATCCCTTTGAAATCAATTACTTTATGTGGGAAAAACTAGCAGAAGCAGTAGGTCTAATGTGCTCACTGCGGTTGGTCTCTCAACACCAGCCACAACCCATTGTGCCCCCGCACTGTTCATGCCCCTCCTGCTCGGGCAAGCGGGCTCAGCCCCGCTGGGGAAGGACCTTCTCCTCTTCTGGAGACACAACCCAGCACAGGTTAAGGGGGGATTTAACCAGCTCAAGGGATTATTGATAGCTCTGCTACTGCAACAAGCAGTCTGGTTTGCACAACTGTAGATTAGCTAATGGCCACTGTACCCTTCTGGTTGCAGAGCCAAACCGGCTCCTGCTCCCTGGTAGCTGGTTTACCCGTGCTAACATACTGCTAAGCATCCAGGAAAAACCCAAAACCTGAACCCCTGCATTTATTCCAGGAGGTAGGGAATGTGGAGGATAAATAAAATCACAGGGTGAGTGTTTGCTACCCATTTGTTTCTCCATCGCCATGCCTTTTGGGGTGCATGCTGCTGCTCCCATCTGTGCTGGGTTGGCATAAGTGATGTGCTGTGTGTCCCAGGAAAGTTTGCCTCTTGGCCATCACCTTTTTTTTTTAAATATCTCTTCATAGTCAATTTGATTTCACTCAAGGGTGAGATCTGCACCAGTATTTACCTGCGTTGGTTGTGCTGGGCACAGTTTGCTGACGGGTGCCTGATGATTAACCTGTGACCAGATTAATGCCAGACGCTGCCCCGCAGGGCACGCTCGCGGGTCGGCGCAGGGGTCGGGGTGAGGAGGGGACCCCGGCTGGGAGGCACCGCCGGGTCAGCCCATCTCCCCTGCTGCACACGCAGGAGGTACCTCAGCCTGGAATTTAGCTCTGGGGTCACAAATGATTAAAATATTTATGAATCCCATTGCTGAGACAGAGCAGGTAAAATGTCATTTAAGAAAAGCTATTAGAGCTGGTCTGTCTGTGGGGAAACACCGTTTGTCATCTCATGTCCAGGCATTTTTCAGATGCGGTACAGCACTTTGGCCAAAATATGCTCATGCCTCATACGGGGGCTGTCAGGGAAATGATATTCATTTTCAGAGGGAAGCCTGAAAATACTATTACCAAATAATTTTTCCTCTGAGAAATGTTTTATTATAGGACATTTAGACTTTAAAAAGGCAGCTATACTCATAAAAAACTAAAATCTTGTTAAAGGAGGACACAACAATAAAAATGTAAGAAAAGAAACTGGTAGCTAAATGCAACAAATGGGACGCCCCCCCAGCCAACTCTTAAAATTTCATATCATAATGTTAAGATCGTCATACTGAGGATGTATGGCATTGATGAATGATGGGCCAATCAGCACCAGATATTAATAGTAAAATAGAGATTATTGCTGCAGTTAGAAAATTCCAGGAAGAAATGCTCTTGGGTTTAGTAGCAGGAGGGAATAAAAAGTAATCCTGAAAAAGAATAGTTAAGTCAGGGAGAGCATAAGCTAAGTAGCCCATCCGTTCACATATATAAAGATTTTGATTAAAATCTGGCTTAAAATTAGTAGACAGAGGACCGAACACTTATGACATGGCATAATATGAGAAGAACTTTTTCAGAAAAAGATGAAACAAGACGTGGCAGTTTTTACTCAGTAGTTCTTCATCTGTCTGTAATATTAACTGTGAAACTGGAGATATTGTCAGGAGCAGACTATAGACAGGTGCAGCAGACTATAGACAGGTGCTATGAGTGTTCCATGCGACTGCCTCCTTCATCAGTATATCAGGATTCAGCCAGGAGTAATTCAGGGCTAGAGCCCAATTTGCTCACTCAAATTGAGAGCATATACAGATTGGAAATAATTAACCTAATCAGGTCAGGCGATTGCAATATGAATTCATGCAACAGGAGCACAAACTTTCTCCAAGTCCTGGCCGTCACCCAGGCTCTGCTATGGGCAGCTCGATGGCCAGTTAAGGAGATTTGATTAGTCATCAGGCAAGTATCGTACAATAAAAAAAAATACCCTGTCAAGTAGGGGCACAGCCCCGTGGGCTAGATTTACATCTAAATTCATCCTTGTCTCTTTGATGTGCTGGGCAGGGAGCAAAGCAGGCTGCAGAGCCACTAGGCACCCGCAGTGGTGCTACCTGCCCTCTCCAGCCCCTCTTCGCGGATGGGATGATGCTGCAGCTTTGCAAAGTGCATCCCCTCCCCAGTCAAGAGCAATGGGGAAACCCAAAACCAGTATGGGAGCATGCCTCTGAGGCACCTTGGGAGAAAGTCCTGTGTTCCCACCTCCCCTGCCACACTCACAGAGGTACCTGCCTCTCCTCCACAGCTCTACACTTGATAATGCAAATACGCTCCCATCTCGGGTAGCTGAGAAATGGGCTATAAAGAGAAACACATGGGAAAACAGGAGGGACAGCACAGAAGACCAAAGAACATGTTTTTTCCCAGGCTGACCTAGTTATTTAACTAACTGGCAGAGATACTCACTAATGATGAAGTAGGAAAGC